GCAGTCTATTAACTCTCATATTCCGTGCCTTCCAAGGCTTGTTGGTTTTGGATGACCATCATTTAAGGTTTCTGCCTCCTTTGAAAGTGAGCCTATGGACGGAGAGAAAACGCCGTCATTCTTGAATATCAATATATATCCGGCTTGACTTTGCCGGCCTTGCTGTATGCCAGGCATCAATATCTTATAACACGTTTTTGGCAGATCAATATCTCATTTATTTTTATATTTTAAAAGTGTTTTAATAAATTAAAAGAATTAATTTTTTATATTTTTTCATATTTTTTTAATTTTCTGATATTAAAATAAATTTTTAAAATTAAAAATTATTATTTTAATAGATTAATATAAACTTTTGATCACCGACGTTTTCATGCAACGATAAGATTTCGGCCCCATGAAAAGCATGCCCCTAATTAATTGCATGTAAATTAAAGTACTGAAATTAGGTAACCAGGCTCCAGCAGTCATAGATGTTGAAGCCATAGAGGTGCCCCGTTGAAGTCCCACGTGTATTGTATGCCAGCAAGTTTAATTAGTATTTTAAGTGATGTGTGGACTTTTTATTACTGTAGTATTTTGATTGACTCAAAAGGTTCAGTAGGTAAGAAGATATAATAGAGTCGTTTTAGAATTCTCGTTTCAGTTATTTTTTAAAAATTATTTTTAATATCAATATATAATAAATATAAAAATAAAAAATATTAATTTCAAAAATAAAAAAGTAAAAAAATATTTTTAAAAATATTTTTAAAACATAAAAGTAAACAAAAACTTGTTCCTTGCTTAATTTCTCGTGAATCAACAAGAATAAACTGAAGCAGGTCCGTGCTTTTGGTATTGTTTGGAGAGAAGCAAGGGAATAAACTAGTGTAGGATAGGTGCTCTTGTTCATAGTTTGAAAAACTCAGCTAAGCATCTCGGTCAACCAGATTGTTCCTCAATTTAAAACCTCATTCAAATCAATTTTTTTTAACTATTTTAAAATTTTATTATAACAATCTCAAATGATTTAGTGGTTAATATAAGACTCAATTAATTCTGCTAAACTCGAATGAGACTTAGCTAGTTCAACTTTAATATTTTTTATTTTTTATTTAAAATTATAAGAAAATATATTATTAAATATTTTCAAGCATGAATACTTTATACATATCATGCTTGGTCTATTTCTTTTAAATAAGGGAGTAATAATTTTGAAAAACTATAGAAAAACTTTTATAAAATATATTATTAGGTATTTTCAAATATGAATACTTCATACATATCATGCTCGGTTTATTTTTTTTTGGAGCAAGAGAGTGATAATTTTGAAAAACTAAAAGGAAAAAAAAATTTAAAAAAATATATTATTAGGTATTTCCAAGCATGAATACTTCATGCACGCGGCGCATAAATATATAAAAAATATGTGGTCTGTTTCTTTTGAGTAATGGAGTGATAATTTTGAAAAATTAAAAAGAGAAAAAGTTTTTAAAATTTATTAAAATAATATTTTTTTTATTTTTAAAAAATTATTTTTAAAATCAGTGCACCAAAAAATTTAAAATATATTAAAAAATTAATTTTTAACTAAATAAATAAATTTTTAATAACATAATTTATATTACGTTACCAAACGTTTATTTAATGGGCCATTTGCTATGCAAGTCAAGCAAATTGGCCTGTAATGCCCATTGAAGGGAATGGCATGCAAAGAATCTAGACAACAATTCTGGAATGCTATGAGAATGAACGAATACTCTCTCTCTCTCTCTCAATTGAAAAAACAAAATGATTTTTTTTTAATGCAGAAAATAATTTAACAATTCAGAATAAAAAATTTACCATTATTGGTTGATTCTTCAATTGATTATAAACATGTATGAGAATTTATTGATAAATAACATAAACTATTTTTTTTCTTTTGATAATTTCAGGGTTTTTTTATAATAATAAGAAGCTTGGTTTTTTATATAAGAATTTATCATGATTTGTAAATCAATTTTTAACCAAGAAAAAAAAATATCTCAATTATTTTTATATGACTATAATAAAAAATAAAAGAATAAATAATTCAAGAAAAAAATAAAAAAAATTACAAAAATATATTTTATTCTCATTGAATATTCATGTACAATTTGTTTTTTAAAAATTCATACATATTACTTTCATACATAATTATTTTAAAAATTAAAAATATCACTATAAAAAATTCTAATTTTATTTAAAAAATATGACATAATTTAATATGTCTTTAAACATCAAGATTTATTTTAAAAATAAAAAGAAATTTAATTAAAAAAAAAGGAGAGAGATAAGGGCTAAGAAAATAGCCCAAATATGTATGGACATGAAAGGAGTAAGTTCAGGCATATGCATTCTAGCTTTCAAAAACCAAGCCGAGGAGTAACTAGGCCTTCAAGCCAGGGCTAGAACCCCTAAACTTTCAAAAAAAAAAAATAATAACAGCCTAGGCACGCCCAGGCCTTGGAGTCCAAACTATTCCCCTTCTTTTTTAGAAGGAAATGAATGACAGGTCATCCAAATGAACAAATGGTATGTCTCATGCTGCAATAGTTTCCTGCCACCTTTGGTGACAAAAAAATTAGGTTGCTAATTCTTCAGATGCTAAAAATCCTACTCTTAAAAATATGAAGAAGAAAAAATACTAGAACCCCTAAAACACTATTTCCAAGTACAAATTATTAGTTTTTTGAAAACACATATACACAATAAAAATTATAATTTTTAATTTTTTTTAAGATTTCAAGGATCCCTACTTGATTTTTTTAGATATAAATTATAATTTCTAGTATAGTTTACTTGATTAATTATTCCAGTTTAATTTCTTACCCATGGTTCTTAATGTTCATGACCTAATAAGTTTTTAAATATATTATCACAAATATAAATCACAATACTAAATAAAATAGGATTAAAATATTTAATTTATTAATTTATATTTTAAAATCAAATGCATCGTCTAACAATGTATTATGATCCCTTAAATATTAGAAAAATCATTTGTAATTTGTCCTAACATTCCAACAACAACTTTTTTGGTGTAATTATTATACTTTCGTCATAAATATTTCAATTCATATATTTAAAAATTAAATGTTTTTTTTTTGTCAAATCATGTTTCTTCTTAATATTATAGTCATTAATTATTTGAAAAAAATTTGAAACTCTTTTTAAATCTAATTTCATCTTGAGCAAATATTCCACAATCAATATTATTTAAGAATATATAAAATATATTTTTTTAGTTCACCTAGGATTATGAATTTCTTTATCACTCAAATAACTTCATATATTTCATGTTATACTAAAAAACATAAATATAGTAAAGGAAATGAAAAGCATGAATAAGAGATTAAGGAAAATATAACATGAAATAAAACTTAAACATTACAAAAATATATATAAAAAACAAGAAATAAAGAGCATGATCTTGATCTGAAAATCAAGATGTCTAAATGCATGGTAAATGCCTCCTTTTATAAGCCAAAATTTAGAACTATTGATTTGTTGATTAATTGTTTAGTGGCTGACCACATTTTGACTCAGTGATAATCATCATCTTCTTATCTGAACAAAAAATCATTACTAACATCAGAATTTGAACAGACTATTGTCATGAAGCTGAACATTGAATAGTATCTAGGCTAGATGACAAATTTGGACCTCTTTATTATTGCTAAAATTTGAACTTGAAAACAACCTTTTTGAATCTTGCACTCTTCATAAAAGTTTTAGCCCTATGTTTCAGTTTTTTATTCATATAGAGCAGATCTAAATTCAAGTTCTACAGCTTCAGTTATAATTCAATAACTGAATGGTGTTTCAGTTTAGACTGAACCAGTATCTCTTTTCTAATCTTAACACTCTCTTTGTCTTCTTAATTTTAGTAGTTAAACTCATTAACCAATCTATTGATTTTATGTGATAGGTCTGCATTTAAAATTAACTATTACTATAAATTAAATATATTTTATATTATTAGATATATTATTATAAAACATGCTCCATTTAAGGAGTTATCGATACTTCAAATGCAAAATAATAATATAAAATTTTGATAAAAATATATTTTTAAATATTAATCACATACATTTTTATTTAAACCAACCACAATAAAAGTGATTTTTCCAAGCACAACAATAAAAATTACTACAAAGACAAACACACTCACTATGGTGGTGCCTAGTGATGTGCATAGAGGAGAGAAGATGTAAGAATTATGGACCTTATTTCTATATATTTTGGCATTTTCTTTTTAATAACATAAAGTGTTTTTTTTATATCATAGAGGAGAGAAGATGTAAGAATTATGAACCTTATTTCTATATATCTTGGCCTTTTTTTTTTAATAACATAAAGTGTTTTTTTTTATATATATAGGAAAAACATTTTTATAGGAAAATAAATACTGGTCTTTATTGATGGGAAAAGCAGGATCGAATCCTGAACTCATAAATATAATTTTAAAACCCAAACTGGTTTAGATTTAGAATTGACTAGGTAAAAAGAAAAATTTAGCTAACTCGGTTAAAAATCTAAATTGACTTAGTCAACCTGATCTTAAACAGGTCAAAACTCAATCACCAGTTTCTTAAATTTTTTTAATTTTTTATTAAAATAATATTATTTTAAATTTTTTAATATTGATTTGAACTAATTTTAATTACCATTTCAATCTATAAAATAGACTTTATTCTAAATTAATATTGAGTTGGGTTTCAAAACAATGCTCACAAGACAAGTGAATCAAGCAGAGCAAGTCTCCTGTAACTCCAGGAATAAAACAGGGATATATATATCCAGATACAGGTGATATTTAGTATTGTAGTCCAACTGTATTTTTAAATATTTTTTAATTTTTATTTTTACATTAATTTTTTAATTTTTAATTGATTTATTAATATTAAAAATATTTTTAAAAATATTATAATATATTTTTGAGTAAAATAAAATATTTTAGAAAACAACCTGTTACGTAAACTCTTCCACTGCTACTTTTGTTGCCAAAATAAAAATAAATTCAATCCCATTTTTCCCACTCCTCAAAATTCAAAACCCTAGCCCCCAATCCGCCACGCACAGAACACGCACACTCACTCCCTCACTCCGTCACCCACTAGCTCATCAAAGCCGCACAGCGATATGTCACATTTCGGCCGATCTGGTCCTCCAGATATCAGAGACACCTTTTCTCTCCTTGTTCTCAACATCACTTTCCGTATTTATCCTTCCCTTTTCTCAAGTTTTACTCTTCCCTTTAATTTGGGTACCATGATGTTATTAATTCATAACTCTCTGTTCTTACTCTCCCGCAGGAACCACTGCCGACGATCTTTTCCCTCTCTTTGACAAGTACGGCAAGGTAGTCGATGTATTCATACCCCGCGATCGGAGGTATATAAATAAACCCATGCATACACTTTTTTTTATATATAAATGTGTGTGTAGTAATGATTGTTTTTCGAAAGGACTGGAGAATCGAGAGGCTTTGCGTTTGTGAGGTATAAATACGCTGAAGAGGCGCAGAAGGCAGTTGATAAGCTTGATGGTTAGTGTTTTTACTTTTTTCTACACTCGAATTGTTGTATTCCGTTGTTGTTATTATGATTCTTATTTTTTTGGAAGTTTAAGGTTACTAATTTGTATTTTGGATTTTTTTTAGGCAGAGTTGTGGATGGGAGAGAGATTATGGTGCAATTCGCTAAGTATGGGCCCAACGCTGAGCGAATGTGAGTAGTTAAAACTCCTTTAACTTCTTTTGAGTTTATATAATGGGGAAGAAAAAATGTTAATTTGGATGCTTGTTTTGTTAATAATGAACAAATTATGGGACTTCTAGCACCCGCAGTTGTGCAAAGAATCTACAATTTGGATTAGGTAATACATTACTATTGATTCAAATGAGAGCTGTGTTGCCTGTAACTAGCAAACAACCGTGTTACTCTATTTAATTTTTTGTTCTTGGGTCTATGTTAGTGATGTAGACGGAAGCTAAAGACGACAACAAACAATTAAAGAACACATGAATTTTAATGATTGAAAGGGGCTGCAGATATGAACCTCAAGTTCACAGCTTTTATTCTCTAAAATAACAATCCTCAAGTGCCCCTTTTTAGGAGTTTTACAAAGCCTTAAAGAAGCCAAAAACCCTATCTCAATTAGGAAAAAAAATAAAAATCCGAAATTACGAAGGAAAGAAGCATGAGATCCGAAAATAACAAGGAAAATCACAGAAGCTGCCAAAACTGGGGCCTCATGGCATTTTCAAAATCTAAAGATCTGATTGTCGGCGTAGTGATTCCATGCTACACTAAGGAAAACAGCCTTCAGAAACTACTATAAAAATTTGAGCCTAATCCAATGGTTAGATCAAAAGTTATGGTCTGTTTAAGTTGTTATTCTGGTCTGGCATGACTAGAATTTTTCTTAGACCTAGATTTGTCCATTAGTCCATAAATGAATCTGCTAGGCTATCCATGTAATCTGTCTGAGACAAGTTCTCATCTAATTGTGATAAACTTGCACCTGACTGTTTAGAATCATCTGTTATCACAAGCCCAATTATATCAATTAGATGGAAGTTTTCTACTTGTTCTTCCTTTGTGGAGTATGTTATCTTTCTTTACCTAGGTGAAATCTTTTTTTTGCCCCTTTGTGTTCTCTTGTTTTCAAATTTAGTTTTCTACTTTTGTTTGCTATATGATTATTTTACACCAGGATATTTTTGATTAAAACTGATTGAGAAGTTGCATTTTCTTCTTCAAGTAATTGTTGCTTCAGGTTTTTTCCATTTTAATTCAGTTGTTTTGTTTATATTATCAGTCAGAGTGGGAGGATAGTGGAATCATCTTCAAAGATTAAAGGTAGGTCTAGAAGCCGCAGCCCTCGTCCAAGGTGAGGATCTTCTCCAGACTTTGGCTTGCATTCTGTTTGTATTGTGGAAGATTTAGGTTTTAAATGAACATTTACGAGGAGATGGCATCATCTTGCAAATTGATTCGACCTTAAAGCTTGTAAATGTGACATAGTGTTATTGTAGTTTCACTGCCTGTGGTGTCTCACCAAATATTTTTCAGGTATCGAGATGGCTACAGGGACAAGGACAGGGACAGGGATTACAGAAGGAGAAGTCGCAGTAGAAGCAGAGATCGTTATGACCGTGATGGGTATCGAGGTAGGGATAGAGATTATCATCCCCGAAGCGTGAGCCACAGCCCAGATCATCGCAAAGAATGTGGTAGAGGACATGATGAGAAACGACGCCGTCGGAGCCAGTCTTATGGAAGGTATTATTAGATCATTCTTATGCTTTTCTCATTATCAAAATTGCTTGTAATTTGTTTATCTGATTGGAAACTTGATCCATGTTTACATGCCTTCCTTGCTTGGCTCAGCCCTAATTCTCCGAGGAGCCCTTCTCCACACCGGGCACATCCTAGGGATAGAAGCCCTAATGGACGCAATGATAACAAATGCTCACCTAATGGAAGGTATTATTAGATCATTCTTGTGCTTTTCTCATCATTAAAATTGCTTGTAATTTGTTTATCTGATTGGAAACTTGATCCATGTTTACCTGCCTTCCTTGCTTGGCTCTCAGCCCTAATTCTCCAAGGAGCCCTTCTCCACACAGGGCACATCCTAGGGATGGAAGTCCTAATGGACGCAATGATAACAAACGCTCACCTACTTCAAAGGGTGTCTCACCTTGCAATGAACCAGTTGAGTCTTGAGCCCATTCACATGAAGGTTTGATACCGATGTGAGTCCCGTGCAATTTGATTATATTGATTATATTCTCCATTAGTGGCTGGACCCTTAGTGTTATGATTTCTTGCCTTGCAGGAATGTTGGGAATTTCGTTCGTGGAGTAGTGTGTTCCTACTTTTGTAAGACTAATGACATGCTAGAATTATCTTTTTGATGGATGAAACATTGTATGGTGGATTTAATCAACTTATGCTTTTGAAGGTTACATATGTCTACGTTCTTGGTGCATTGCTCTACAAATTTAGGCTTGATTGAAGTTTTGTACCTGCTCTCATTGCCTGATGCTGTATGAGTCTCTCAGGTGTTTCTTGGTCATTCACATGCTATTGCTTTCACATTCCAGCCTTTTTTGCTTGCCATTGTCGAGACTTTACTACCTCTGGGTGGATTCCTTTTCCTTTCTTCTTTTGTTCCTTCCCACTGTGATTCCTTGGTTCGTTACTTCCCTTAAATGATCTCTCTTTCTGATATGATTGTCATGTCCAATTCTATTACTAAATGTTCTAATCAATATGATTTCTTACGGTTCATTTATATTGGCCTTATATAGTGTTTTTTAGGAAGTGTGAATGATGCTGACTGGAAGAGGATGCACCAGCTATCGTTGCTACTCTGCCATCAACGATTTCATATTAATGCTGGCCAGTCTGGTGTTTTAACAACTCTACTGTGACATTGTCTTGATTTGGCCCGGTGATGCTGTGCCTTTTACCAACTACTTCTAGCACTCCACCAACCAATAGTAATGCATGAGCAAGCTGATAAAGAGCTGTCTTTAAGTTCTAGATTCCCTCTTTTCTGCCGAAGCAGCAGAAAGATTGTCAATTCTGTGCAAATTATTGAACTCTACGTATTTGAATATTTTGATTCTCAAAGTTATTCTGGATGAGGCTTTGGTCCTCGAATCTACTTCTGAAGGTTTTAGTTTCCATGGAAGTGGCTGCATTGAAAGATTGACTACCAATCCTGCCAGCCCTTTCCATTCTTTGACACGTTTGAACTGAAGGGAAGATTCAGGGCGAAAAGGATCGATCCAGATCCAAATGAATATGAAAACTGGCGCCATTAGGTATGTTTGTGTCGTCCCTGTGTTGAGTACAAATATAACAGCAAACAAGGTGCTTTATCTTTGCAACTCCCGAGATGTTAAGTACGGATATATGGTATCGGTTTGCATTCATGTTACCCGTTTTTAGGTTATGACAAGCCTTCAAATATTGTCCACTACGACGAACTGAGGGTAAATATTTTTGGCAACAATCATGAGAAACGATGAAGAAGCTAAAGAATTGGATTGGTACAAGAGGGTAAATATTGTCTGCTAAGGCGTTGCTCACGGGGTGGCTTGCATGCGCCACGGTAATTCACCCCTGCTTGTTCATCAAGACGTGCTAGCCTTTTGCTCGATTTCGAATAGAGAAGCTCGCATATCAAACTTTGGCACTGGCAGGCTTCCAAAGCTCAATTCATCTATAATCACCTGGCAGGCTTGTATGGGTATGTCGTGTACATCTAGGCATTCGTTTTTTCTACTTGCATATGAAAGCCAAGAAAAAATAAAAAAAACCCACGTAAATCATGCATGCCTGACTCAATTGTGCGTCGAAAGTAACCAAAAAATGTGGTGTATAGTTTTAGGGTGTTTAGCAGTGGAAGTGATAGAAGGAAAGCATCCTCGTAATCTCATCCTTTCTCTGTCTTCTTCAGCGAAAAAAAGAAAGCTTTACAGTTAGAGATTGGACGTCCAACATTTAAAACAAGGAAGGAATAATATAAATCAGTGCAGGTCTGCTAAACCATTTTAGCATAGACCGACTCAACGCATAACAGGAGAGAATAACAAGCACTCTCAATAAAAAGCCCTAGCAAGAGTTAATTTTTTGTGGATATTACATTTATCCATGAGTTAATTTTATATTGCTAATTTTCATGAATTTGCTTTTGCTTTTAAAACATTGCACCACCATTAAATTATAATCACTTCCTTTCTCCTTTCTAGTAAAGAGAATATTTTTTTTATGTTAAAGAAATTTAATAGAGAAATCGCTAATAAAAGTTTTAAAGCCCATACATCTCTAAATAAAAATAAGTGTTTAATTTATAAATTATCAAATATAAAAACAAAAGGAGTACAAAGTATAATTGAGTCGGATTATCGTGAACAACCTCCTGCTATCCATTTATAATGCCTAGATCATCAAACTTCGATGGATCAATTTAGGTGAGATAATATAGCTATTATAAATAAACCGATGAAGTCAGGTCAGATAATGAGGCTTTTATAGATGAAAATTGAATGACTTATCCAAGGCAATTCAAGACTCTCACCATAAAGAAAATTGAAACATATAGCCGAAAGAGAGTGGAAGTTGTAATGAGGTGGTAGCCTCTGGTGCAAACCCTTCTTTTGTTCTTCTGTCAATGACGGAGTGGACGAAAAAGCTCACCTGCAATTAAAAAAAAAATCGATGGAAAAGGTTTTATATACACCGAAATCTGAATAAATATTATAAATTATTTTGATTTCGTAAAGCAATTTTTTTTTTCTTATTTCAACTCTTCAACTATAAGATATTTTGATTGACATTTTTTTAGATTATATTCTGTCCAATTTAACTATTAAATATCACATATCATTTTTTTTAAAAAAAATACAGTAAATAGTCATCAAAACGGCCTACAGTGCTTACTTTAAATGGATTAGTAGAGTTCTCCAAGTAGGTGTGCAAACTGTAGCTATTTAGTAAATTCTTTTCTCGTTCTAGCAGAAAAAAATACGAATGTAAATTCCATGCAACCTGAAAAAAAGAAAGAAGAAAAAGGGTTCATGGTAGATAAAATACCAGTTATTCTTCATCTTTCCTTTCGATTTCATAATCTTTCTCACAAGTAAATTTAAGCATGTGAGATTTCAAAAATTAATCTGCAATTCTTGTCCATGTATTTGCTCGTGGATTACTGTCCTGCTGTTAAATTCGATCTGAAGATCCACTCTCTAGCTAGATACAACACCAGGATGTAAAACCACCAATGGAATGGTGAATTTGTAATTAAACAGCCCGTAGATCCTTCGTGGAGTGACAAAATCGATAAACCTACTAAATTGATGGTTCACGAGTTAAGGTGGAATATATATATATATATAAAAGTTTCTAGACATTGCTAACATCTTTGTAATAAAAAAAAATTAATTATATGTGAGTGAATTTAATATATCCAGGTTGATTTGGTAAATTCAAACACAATCTAAATAATTAGTAAAAATATAATTTAACTAAAAAAAAATTAAGATATCTTGTTTTTTTAATATTGAGATAACAATATTTTATATCGATTGGGGTTAAGCTATTAAATTCGTGATCCAAATCATGAGATTATAATATCCCCATAGAAAGTAAATTGAAATAAATTTGAAGTTCAATTTATAATTAATTCAATGTTAAATAATAAAATTTTAAAAAAATTATATATATGTATGTTATGAAATCATGATAACCTCATTAAAAGTAAATTAAAAGAAATTATATATGAAATCAGAATAACATCATAAAAAGTAAATCAAAAGAAATTATAAAATTCAATTCTTAATAAGCTTAATATTGAATGATAAAATTAAAAAAAAATATAAAAAACAATTCAAAATATTGAATGATAAAATTAAAAAAAATTAACAAAAAAAATATAAAAAACAATTCAAGATAACCCGCCAAACTCATAACCTGTGTCATGAGACAAAGATAATTTCATAGAAAGCAAACTAACAAATTAACCCGAGTTAACTCAGACTGATCTCTTAAACCTGTAACTTGAGTTATGAAACTGAGATAGCCTTATATAAAAACAAATTAAAATAAATTAAAAAACTCAATTCTCAATCAACTCATTATTGAATGATAAAATTAAAAAAATTAATTTAAAAAACAATAAAATAACCTGGTTAAAAAAATTAATTTAAAAAAACAATAAAATAACCTGAATCATGAGATCAATATAACTTAAAAAAACAAATTAAAATAAATCTTGAAATATAATTCTCAATTAACCCCCCTATATAAATGATAAATAAATCTTGAAATATAATTCTCAATTAATCCTATATGAATGATGAAATTAAAAGGTAAAAAGCTAATTAAAAGAAGAAGAAAAAAACACCCAAGTTAACAAAGTTAACTAGTCAAGTCGATAACTTAAGTTATAAGACATTAATAATCACATAAATAACAAATTAAATCATATCATGAAGTCTAATTTATAATAAAGAAAATGTTAAAGAACTAAGTAAGAAAACATAGATTAAAAAAAAGGAAGAAGAAAACCAAAACAATATTTGTGAGGTTCACCATTTATAGTTTCTGTTAATTGATGCATGTGCAGTTTTTCAGTACATGAAATTTCCCTAAATGCCGCAGTAGATGCAATATTTAGTTTCATTTAAGGGTTCTATTTCTAATTGAAAACTTGGATATCAAGATCTCCCACTGACCATTGTTTTTTTCACAGACTCCCATTTTCCATGGATCCTTCCTGAAGTTACGAGAGTTTCGTATGCATTCATGCTAGTCATGCTTTTATGGATGGGATTGTGGTCCTTTGGAGCAGCTGATGTTGTGGCTTCAAACATTAATCTCAGTGGACATTTATGGGCAAGTTTTGCTCTTATTTCCATCTTCTGTTGCTGGGATTAGAAACTGGAAATTGTTTTGTATTCTGACTCTTATGGACCATTAGATTTACTAACTTGGCAAAGCGAGCAATGCGAATGAAAATATTTTTAGATAGGTACGCTAACTTGGCTTCTCTGCCACTTAATGGCTCTGTATTTTGGTCTGGTGGGATGAAAGCTCATGCTACAATGCGCCAAAGTATCATACAATCACAAACACCTCGTTTTACAAGAGGTGGAGCTATATATGTTTGAGCAAGGCTATGTGGAATGCCAAAACGTTCATGGAAGATGATGATAAGGGCACTGCTACCAAGAACATATTCATTCATCAGCACCTGATCCTACTTTGAAGCTCTGAATTCCATTTACCTTTTTGAATATTGTTTTTCACTTGGACATGCTACTCAGAACAGTCTTTATTTTGTACAGTGAGATATGCATCGCCAAGAGCTTTGAGCTTTCTGATTTTCATTAGGATTTCGCTCTTTATCTATTTTTCTTGTCAATTTCTTCTTCTTGTTGTATATTTATAGCACTAACTAGTTGTTGAGCTGCTTATCTTGACACAGAACCATCAGGTAACTTTTACGCGTTTCAATAAAGGAAATCCTTAGATGTTAACATATGTATTTTTTCGATGAATGTTCAACAAGGTCCAACTTAAGCTGTGAATGAGTTCCTCCATCTCCAATGCAAGGATATTTTTTGATGGGTTTAAACAATTTAGATGTACTCTCCTAAAAGGTGATATAATTAGAATTTGATCATTTAATTAATAGTTAAAGTCAGTCTATCAACAACATATCGCTCATCTTCGATGATCATATTATGCTTTATAACACACATTCTGATAATATCACCGGGTATTTCATGATTCCAAAAACATTCGATTCATGACAATTATGGTAAACCGTGCCTATAGCACACCAAACGCTTGCTCTGCATCTTTGCAGACCCTTAAACTGCAACAAAGAACTTTTGTTCTTTCCCTTGTGGAGATAGAATTATATTTACAAAAGTCGACCATGTTGGATATATAACATCAATAAGATAATATCATATTGTATAGTTATAACCATTTAATGAAACTGTTAGAAGCCATAAACATAGATTGAACAAAAAAAAAAATAGTTGAGATGGAGGAAGTGAGAGAAATGATGAATGAAAAATGAGGGTTTAATTGCTTTTTTTTATAGGAGAAAATATAGTTGTCAAGAATATAAATGTTGAAACAT